ATTGAAGGGTATGATTTGGTATATGGCTGCTTGTTTGCTGTATAATAAAGAGATGGATGAGAATTTTAAAGGTCATATTTTAAGGAATGCCTTACTGCGGGTTTGGAAAAAAACATCAATATAAATTAAACGATAAGTTACCTATGTGGGCTATCCCTAGACATGCAATAGAAAATATGCACATAATACAGAAACAGGATATAATTACTTATAGGCAGCCTGTTATTGTAGAAAGAGGTGTACCACAATTGAAATCTTTCGATGTATTAAAAAAAAAAGGCAATTCAAACATGATTTCAATATGGGCAGTTATAGGCTAGATGGAAATTAGATCAAAACTGGCTTTATGCAAGCCGAGGATAATTTATTTAAACAAATTAGACACCAAAGTTCAATACATATAAAAAGAATATATAACGTAGTAATAGAAATTGATTTCGAAACAGATCTAGTTAAAGGCTGTATGATTAATGTGCTCAAAGTGTTGAAGAACCAATAATGTTGGATACATGGGAGAAGATATGGGTTCTAGATCCCCCCCCCCCAAAATGGCTTCTATGTATTTGAATTTACAATCTAAATGCTGGAGATGTGATTGTATGGATGCTATATATTTTCATATATGGTGGACTTGCAAAAAGGTTAAGGTATTCTGGATAAAAATATGATCGATTATGCAAAATTTTCTTTAAAAAAAAGGATAAAGTTTACAGATAATCCTTGACTTATGCATATAATTAAGTCTGAAATTTCTGTTGCTAAGTGAAATATTTGTTAAGTTACCACATTTTATGACTTTTATTGCCAGTTAAGTGGCAAGTCATTTAAGTCACTTGTTAAATTAGTAACATGGTTGTTAAGTAAATCTGACATCCCCACTGCTTATCTGAAGATTATAAAAGGTGGATCACATGACCCTGGGACACTGCAGTAGTCATAAATCAATCAGTTGCCAAGCATCTGAATTTTGATCACATGACCATAAGGAAGCTGCATAAGTGTGAAAAACGGTCATAAATGATTTTTTCAGTGTCATTGTAACTTTGAATGGTCATTAAATAAAGTGTTGTAAGTCAAGGACTACCTGTATTCAAAATGCCTTTTTAAAAAAACAGGTGCCCCCAGGTGGCATCTGCATAGTTGCAATCTGCTAAGTGCATGTCCCTTGGTGCCAAACAAGTTCCCTGACTTCCCAACCGTTTTCATGTATTTTTCCTTTGAAATAAAAAAGGGAGAAGCTGACATGTTAAAGCACCCAGAGCATTTTGGCGGTTAAGGTAGGGTGAGGAATAGGAAACTTGGGGGGAGCCAAGGTTAGGCTACGAGGAAAGGCATGAGTGCTTTAGAAACAATTGTTTTGTGAATAGTTATCCGGCAGAAGCAGCCATTTTGTTCTGAAAAAGCTAAATGACCGCAAAGGATGGACAATCTTTCTGAGGAAAACACTCTTACCCAAGAATTAGGAGGGGGGTGCCCTTTGCTCCATACACCAAGGAGAGCTTTTGTCGTGCTCCAGAGTCGATTTCCTCGTTTTGCAAATAAAGCAATAGTTTGGGACGCGACTATAGCTGAAAAGGAACAAAAGAGATACGAAGCGCCATCACCACAGGGAGGTCTAGGCTCGTGTTACTAGCGTCAGCTGCCGGCGCGCGCCGTGCCTTCTCTCGGCCGTTACCTTCACGCGTCCACGGCAACTGTTAACGCTCTCGGTGCGGGAGGAGCGACCCATCCCATTCATCTAAATCCGAAACCCAGCATCGGTAAACTATTCCGCCTTCATTTCCTGTCATCTGCCCTTTTGGAACCTGTCCGCCTGTCCCCTACTTCGGAGCAATGAGAACAACGGGCCGGCTTAGGCGAGGAAGCGGCAAAGAGTCGCCGCCTCTCAGTGGTGAAGGCAACAATCGCGGCAGGCGAGCTCCTCCTCCTCGCCTGCCACCTCAGGAAGAGAATTTTCAGGGCCGGAGCGAAGACGCGGAGCCCGATCGCAGCGCTAGCCAAGACGCCGTGAACGAAGCAACCGCCGCTGTCTTCTTACTCCGCGGGCTGCAACAGTCGCTGGGGAGGCAGCTTCCCGGTGGGGCCTCTCCTCACGCAATGAAGAGGGGAGTACCTGGCAGGAAAGGGACTAAAAGCGAATCTCAGAAGCAAGCGAAGCGGCACCGCTTGGCCCACGAATTCGGCGAGTGGCAAGACTGGCTACGCGGTGAGAGACCTGCGGTGGGGGGGATCGTAGGATCTGGAGCGGAAAAGCAAGAACCGAGGGAAGGACTGACTCTGGCGCGGGAGCTCCGGATTAGTCAAATGTACTTCCTGCAGCTCGATCTCCGCCCGCCTTCTTGGAATAGGCGAGAGGAATTGAGTTCGTTGGAACCTCTTCTCACATGAGAGTAGATTGTAGGGTTAGTGGCGCTTCCTTCTGAGTCCTCCGAGTTATTGTGTGGATGTGAAGATCAAGCTGCCAGGGACCCTCTTGAAACTTATAATTGTTGTTGATGCCTGTGTCAATGGGGAGTTATACAAAACACCATTCTTGGGGCGGGGCAAGGTTTTATCAAAATACTTTTCTCATGTTTAACAAAATGAAAATTATTTTGAGTAGCGGATTCCCACTTTCCCCACCCAAATTTTGCTTTTTGGTGGTCTTCGAATCAAACTTCTAGAATAGAAAGGATGGTGGGGAAAGGGTGTTGTCATAGATAAACTTTAAGAGGAAAATGAGATTGGTCAGTTTTATTTTACTCGAAGGTATACTTACCTGAATGTGAAATGCAGATAAAGAAGAAGTTAATAAAAGCAGAAGATAAAACAATGGGCTTCTATATCTAGCAGTCTAGGTTTGACAACATCATTCATTACACTTTTACATTACTTTCTATCTTTGCAGATCATCCTTTTTTCCACCTCATTTGTACCCTGATTCATATATTGCCTTTTCTCTCTTTTTCAACATCTCATCAATTCCATCCAGCCATACATTTCTTGGTTTTTTTTTCAGTCATTCATTTTAAATTCATTTTTTGGGTAAACCACCTTGTACATTTTGTGTTCAATACATATTTCATTCACCTTTTGTTCACAATGCTCACTTCTTTAATAAGCTTTTCCCACTGCATTCCTTGTACTTTCATACTTGTTCTTACATACATAACTTTCACTTTCATATAATCAAGTGACAGATCCTTAATGTTAATGCAAACACTTTCACTTTTGGCAAATATTTTTCCTCTGCCCCTTCCACCAGCAAATACAAAAAAGAAATTGCTACGGAAAGGCCTTTGATTCTATTGATATACTTAGAAAAATGGGAATCCCAGAATATTTAATTGTGCTCATATGAAATATATACACAAGTCAAGAAGCCACAGTATTAACAGAATATGGTGAAGCAAAATGGGTGAGGATTTAAAGTTAAAGGAAGAAAGAACAACCACTATGTTATTGACATTATTCTGATAGCTGAAAATGCGAATGATTTGCAAGACCTAATAATAATATTAAAAATGTGATTAAAATGAACTACAAAGTGAACCAAACTAATAACAACAGGTACAGCAAGCAGCATTAGAATTGATAGTAAAAGTATCAAAATGATAGATAGCTTCTGCCTTTTGGGAATCAATCATCAATACCAAAGGAATAATTTGCTATCCACTAGCATGTGGTAGAGCAGACATGAAGTCCTTGGAAATGATATTTAGATGCCATAATATGCCTATACCTATAAATATAACAAATGTGTTCCCTGCAGCAGCAAAACCTGAATTTTGAAGAAGCAGGAAAGGATGGATGTTGATGAAATTGATAGAACTTGCTGAAATGGATAAACTGATTTCTTTGCTTAGTGAAAGGACAATATCAACCTCTATTGGTGTTTGGAAAACCTTATGGACTTTTTCATGAAAATGAAAAAAAACCCTTGTCATTTATAGTTTTGATTATTAGTCAAGATAGAGTGTAGGAAGAAAAGAAGAGTGATGCAACTTTAAAAAATAAATGTTAAAATATATATTTATTTAAATGCTGTGAAGAATATTGAAAGCCATTTCCAACATTTCTGTTATATTTTAGTTTGGACACTATGCAAAGACTTAGTTCCCTGGAGCAGGTATAATTCTGGGAATGAAGTGGAATGAAAGAGGAAATGGGAAAAAGAGAATCATACTCTGTATATGATTGTTAAGGCTTTCAACATTGACTTAATAGTGCATAATCAAAATCTCCCAGCATTTGTATGTTTAAATTTTTTTGAAATGAATAGCTATCTTTGTTGGTTGGTTTACTATCCAATAATGAGTAGTTTTATTGTGATAGGATATGAAAATGGGAGGAGGTTCTTTCCATTAATGCAGGCCTGTCAAGTTGGTAGCCACGGGCCAGATGCGTCACGTGCAGGCTATGCCCACCCGGACTCCGCAAAGGCCAAAAACTTCGTGATACGTCACAACACATGTGATGCAATCGAGTTTGACACCTGTGCATAAATGGCATATTATTGCCTAATCTTCTCTTATATCACATAGCTTGTCCCATTTAGGAGAGTCTTTTCAACTTTCAGTATAGGCTGAAGAAGAATGGAAAGCTGGAAGAATTATAATGTCAAGAAAGCTGCTTTTGTATCCTACTTAAATGTAAGCTAAATCTCCCAACGTTTTACAGTAAGATATATCATCCTATTGAAAAAAACATTATTAGTGTTAACAAAATTTGTTAACTCTTTTTTAGTATTTAGTATTACTGAGAAAAGAACTAGATTCAACATGAGGAAATAAAAGTTACCTTTCCAAATATAATAATCTTTTTTGCGAGGGAAATTCTTTAAAATACATTTTATAAATTCTATGGATTATAGTATGTTAACTATGTTTAATTTCTTTTTATATAGATACTCTGAGAGAAACGGGATTCTTTATTGCAAGAACAGATAGCAAAATATGGCTTACACTTATAATGGGTGAGAATTTTACAATTCTTATTTCTTTACAGGGGTCGTGGAAAAGTCAGTCCTACTGACTAGATTTACTCCCAAATAAGACTATATAAGGGTACAAACTAAGATTTTGATGTTGATACCCTGCTAGTGCCACAGACATAATGCAAGTAAAATATTTGGATATTTAACTTATGGATATTTCCTACAAACAATTTAAAATAATATGTTCATATGGTAGTTGAATCTATATAATAAACTATATATTTGTATTTATATTTGGAATTGTTAGTATTAAACACAATAGCTTAAGGCTGATAACACCTTTGGTGTTAACCTTAAATTTTTAGTTATAGATCCAGAAATTATACATTTGAAATTTTCTATAGTTGTATTACAAAATATATCCAAACTACAAGAATATGTCTGCAGTATTCTCATGGACTTTATATATATTTGAGTCTATCCTGTCTTCTCTTTTTTTTCTTTTTTTTTCCATAGCAGAAACTGCATGGATACTTGTGTGTCATTTTTAAAATATATAAAATTGGCTTCATGAGAAGTTAGAAATTTGTTAGATGTATCCTAACTATAACACTGTAATACTTTTAAACCACTAATATATGAAAGCAATAATGCATATATCTATTTTATCTGTTTTAGTCTAATTTTTAAAATTATATATTTGAAATTAATACAGTATAAGAATGATGTATGGATATTCCACAAAAAACAGAGCATGCCTTGTGCAGAGAAATTCTGTGCAAACTTTTAGAACTGTTATGTATATAGCCCTTAATTATTGGGGTTACATTTTTTTTAAAATACTTTAAAAATCATTAAGGTGGTATGATTTGTTTTGTTTTTTAACAGCTGCTGTTGCAGGAATCCTTCATTGGTAAGTTTATATTATATTATTTTGTTATAATAAACAAAAATGCTTCATCAACATTTAATTACAGTAGCATTATCTCTATAATTTATATCTTAAGTCCCTTAAGTTGGCACACAGTGGTAGGCCAGAGGTTATGAAGTAGTGATGGATGGGCCTTGTGTGCCTTCCACTCCTCCTCTTTCAGACTGGCCTCCTCCTTCCCCTACAGCAGGGGTGGCTCTTTCATCCCTCTCCTGTGGCTCTCCATCGCTGGTTGGTGCCACAATTTAGAGAGAAGCTTCCGGTTGGGAGGGGGGAAAGCACAGTGCACTAGGAGGAGACTAGGGCAAGGGGCAGGTCAGCTCCACAATTGATAGGGTTTTTGGTTAGGACAGGTAGAGAAAAAATGACACAGCGCTAGGAGGAGACTCTATGGTGTGGTGGCTCCAGAATTGAATGGGGGCTTCCGTTTAGGACCTTTGTGGCTCTTTGAGTGTTTAAGGTTATCAACCCCTGCCCTACTGGCAGTCCTTGGATTAGATGCCAAACGGGATTAGAATTGCTATTGCTAAGTGATGTGGTCATAAAGCATGACCACATTGCTTAGTGACAGCAGTCCCAGTTGCCATCACAACCCCAGGATGTTCAAGTCATTAAACAGGAACAGGTGGGAATCCCACATAAGGGGCATGTTGGGCATGTGTGTGCTATGGGTGAGCACTAGGAAGTATGAGTTGATCTGCAGCGGACACAGATATGTAGACTCGAGATAGATGGGGCTGCTATGAAGTAGGAGATAGTGGACTCCTTGGGAGAAAAAGCAGGACAATATACAATCTTTCCCAATGATTTTGTTTGTGAAAAGCTGCCAGTGGAATTCATATAACACAGCTCACTATGAAGTTATCATTGTGAACTAGGCATTGAGCATTTGTATCATGATCATATGGGGAGGCTACAACAGCAGAAAATTACAGGACTGGTCGTAAGTCCATTTTTTTCTCCAATCATATTTACTTAGCTTTCTCTTCCTCTCAGTATGTAAGGAAGGGGCAAAACATCCTTCCTGATGAATTTAGATCTTTCTGAGTTGACACTGGAAAAAGCTTTTGGAGCTTGCTGGTTCATAGTTCTTTCTAGTGCCACTCCACAAAGAGAACAATTATCTACAAATTACTGGGGAAGTCACTACTGGCTCTGTGCCAAGTGTAGCCCAAGGTTGTGCTCAGCCTTCAAGTAGCCTGTGTGTAATTTAGCCCAGAATTGATATGTTTTTACTTTTTCTCTGTATTTTTGAATTCATTTATATAATAGGCTTCATGTGATTTAGCACTGCTTGGTTGCCCGGCTTAAAAAAAAAAGACTTCACTGCCTCAAACGCGATTGCAAGAGCCTCTGTAGAGGTGCGGAGTGCCTGCCTAGTCCAGGCTAGGCATATCTGTTGTTTTGTTTGAGGCACAGAATCCCTGCCTAGTTTTGGCTAGGCATACTCTATTTGTTGAGGCACGTCAAATCGCAGCAGTTTCCTCCCTGCCCAATGCTATAGCCTCATGCCTGCTTGCCTAGAAAGGCTTGGAGTCCCTGCCTAGTCTCGGCTAAGTATATCCACACAGCAGGCAAACAACACCACCACCAGCAGCAGCTTTGCTTGTTTAGAAACAAAATGTAGGACAGGGCTGCAGAACAGGGAGACAGGGCACTGCTCCCTGAAAGATCTTGTTCTTCTGTGGAAACTTCAGATTCCAGGTACTCAAAGTCGAAGTCTAAGGCTTCTAGCAGGAAAGGGCATTCCAAAGCTTCTGAAAAAGATGCCAGCAGAAGGCAAAAGGCCTTGGAGAAACAATTTCTTAGTGCTGAGAGACAGCTGTCAGAAATTCAAACAGCTTCCCCTCTGACAGAGGCAGCAGATTCCCGCCATTTTCAGGCTGAGCAATTGCTTCACTCAGGAGATATAATACCACAGGCTTGGTCACCAGAGGGAGCAACTCTTTTCACTTCTCAAGCCTGCAATGCAGCTGAAATAGACCCCTTTTTCTGCCCAGCAACAAGTGAGGGACAGCAAATCTCCACTGTTAGAAGGCTAGTGCCAGAGGCTACTTCTATAGCTAGGCTTCGCCATGAGGACTCTTTGATGTCTGCCTTGCCTGGAGATATAAAATTATTGATTTCCGAGGCTATTTCTTACTGCAGCACTGCAGCATCCCATTACCCAGATAGCAATGCCTCCTCAGTCATCTATTAGCCTCCAAGAGAGTCCCAAGTTAATAGGAGCCCGGTCCCACTGGCATGGGACACCATCTCACAACCCCTCTTCTGACAGTGAAAATTCACTTCTTCCTGATGAGGGCCAAAGGGATGCAATTCTATCAGAGGACGAGGGTTTAACCCCAGATATCCAGGCCTTCACCAGGCTGTTTCCCCTTGCTTTTGCATAAAGCAAAGATGATATCTGTCATAGGAGCTGATCCACTCCAAGAATCTTGGGCCTCAGTGGTCCTATTGAACACCTTTTCTTTGAGCCAGCCACGAAACAGGAGGATATTCCTGTACCCCAACTCTTTGTAGATGCACAAACAGTGGGCGGAGCAAGGTTCATTTCTGACCCAAAGCGGAAATGACAAACGTTTTTACAATTTGGCTCCCAACCTGGCTGATACTCTGGAGATACCAAGGTAGATGATCCTGTGGCGTCCCTTGTCTCTTCCTCCCTTGTGTCAGAAGACATAGCATAAGACCGAAGATAAAAAGGTGGAATTAACATTGTGCAAGACGCACCAATCTTCAGCCTGGGTGATCAAAGTGGCCCCTGCAGCTTCCTTTTTTTAATTGGACCTCACTGTTTTGGCTTCACCAGATGCAACAGAGAATTCTACTGCATGAGACCAGGCTCCAACAGGACCTCAACAAATTAATTGCAGCTACTCAATGCTCAGCAGATGCCACCCTGAATGTAGCAAAGTATGCCTCCAGAGCTCTTTCATCCTCCGTTACATCTAGGAGGATGCTTTTGCTTCATCACTGGCAGGCTGATTTCAAATCCAAATGGAGGCTAGCCTCTGCCCCACAGGTGGCACACTATTTGGGGAGGCCCTAGACCTGATCCTTATTGAAAATAAGGACAAAAGGAAGATTCTGCCATCATCATTTAGGAGACCGACATCCCTCACCATACTACCGCAAGCCTTTCAGCCAACTGAATCAGCATTTCCCCAGCACCAGAGGTTCCTCCCTCAGAGGTCTGAACACCAGCCAGCCAGGGCGGGGTTTTGCAACCAGCCCAAACAATAGTTCCAAGTCAAACAGTCCTTTCATGGAGTAGGAGGCCACTCTTTTCATAGACCAAGATGACTTCAAAACCAATCCTCCCATAGGCGGCTGATTAGCTCTATTTGTGGCCCGGACCAGGGTTTGGGTCCATCCAAGGGCATTACAGTCCCTCTGATGGTGGACATCCCCAGCCCTTCACAAGGAATGTGTCTTCAAAGAACCCAGCTGCATCGCTATAACATCGGATGCCAGTCTATTCAGCTGGGGTGCCCATCTCCAGTCTCACATGGTCCAGGGTTGTTGGTCTCGGGAAGACTTGCACAACAACATCAATTGGCTGGAGCTTCAGATGGCACATTTGGCCCTTCGACAATTCAAGGACATAATCCAGGAACAACATATTCTCCTTCTTACCTACAATGTGACTACTAAAGCTCACATCAACCATCAAGGAGGCACCCACTCCAGGGTCCTCATGACAGGAGCAGAGCATTTGGGGATGTGAGTGGAGAAACCTCCTCTCTCTCAAAGAGGAGCACATGGCAGGAGCAGCAAATGTGCAGGCGGACTGCCTCAGCAGGTCCACAATAGACCACTCAGAATGGAGGTTATATCCAGACCTCTTCAGGCACCTGTCCGAGAGATTTGCTCAGCCTGTTGTGGACCTATTCGCCTCTCGACAAATGTTCAACTACCACAATATTTCACCAGGTTCACAACACCAGGAGCAGAAGGTACCAACAGTTTCCGCAGCTGTGGCCCAGGGGACTGCTGTATGCCTTTTCCCCCTTCCTCTCATCCTAGGGTTCATTCGGAAGGTACTGAAAGAGAGGGCAGAGATCCTGCTCATTGCTCGCCACTGGCCCAGACAGCCGTGGTATGTGGACCTGGTAGGCCTTTCTGTATCTCAGCCCTGGGTATCCCTCAGGAGAGAATCTCGCTAAACCAGAGAGTCTTGGTCCATCTGGAGCCTCAGTGGCTCCAAATGACAATCTGGCATTTGAGAGGAGCCTCCTGAGGAAGGGCAAGTTCTCCTCCAGGGTGATACAGATCATTCAGGCCCCGAGAAAACTATCCACTAACAGAATCTACAATTCTTGGACAATGTTTACCAATTGGTGCCTTAAAGTGGACATTACTCCCACCTCAGCATCAGTGCCACAAGTCTTGGAATTCCTCCAGGAAGGGCTGGACAAGAGTCTGTCCCACAACACCATCCGCAGGCTGGTGGCAGCCCTTGCAACGGTATTGACATGTGGGGAAAGATAATCTCTGGCTCACCATCTGGTCATTCGGAGATTTCTCAGGGGGGTGGCAAACCTGAAACTGCTTGTGATCCACAGGTACCCAACTTGGGACCTATCAAAGGTCTTACAAGCACTAACCTTTGTACCATTTGAGTCATTAAGGACTATCAGCTTGCATTTCCTGACTTTTAAGATCACGTTCCTTGTGGCCATCACTTCAGCCAGGTACCTTTTGGTGCTGGCCGCTCTTTAGTCATGAAAGACTTATGTGTATTTCATCAGAAGAGGGTGGTCCTCAGGATGGATCCCTCCTTCATCCCCAAGGTGAACGCCTGGTTCCACAGGGCCCAGCAGATCTTATAGCAATAGCAGTAGACTTATATACCGCTTCATAGGCCTTTCAGGCCTCTCTAAGCGGTTTACAGAGAGTCAGCATATTGCCCCCAACAATCTGGGTCCTCATTTTACCCACCTCGGAAGGATGGAAGGCTGAGTCAACCCTGAGCCGGTGAGATTTGAACCGCTGACCTGCTGATCTAGCAGTAGCCTGCAGTGCTGCATTTAACCACTGCGCCACCTTGGCTCTTGGATCTTTCTGCCAGACTTCTGTCCAGGGCCAACTCATGCCCTGGAGAAGAAATGGCACATCTTGGATGTGAGGCGGGCCATTCAAGTTTACAACAGGAGGACTTCCTCTACTAGAAAGACTGAGGCACTGTTCATTTCTTTCCACCCTGCATCGATGGGCTCCAAGGTAACGCCATCAACGATTGGCCATATGCTGAGAGCTTGCATTGCTAAGATCTATGAAGTTCAGGCCTTACCAGCTCCCAGAGGGGTGACTGCGCACTCTACCAGAAGTGCAGCAACAGCAGCAAAGGCTATGCAAGCATCCATCAAAGGAGTTTGCGGAGTGGCAACATGGACTTCTCCTTCGCCCTTTATTCACCATTACAAAGTGGACGTATTTGCTTCGACCGAAGCATCCTTTGGATGAAGGATCCTACAAAGAGTGCATGTGGAGACGAGGACTTCTAACCAAGCTGTGTCCTATCCTTAGATTGGCCAGCATTGGTAAGTCCCATCCTTGCACTCTACCGAGAAGATAGAGGGACATTGGTCCTACCTGAGATGCCCTTTCTCTGAGTAGCTCCAGGAGAGTGCAACCTGGCAACTGCTTGGTCGGAAGCCAGAAGCTACCACTTAACCTTGTTGAGATTTGATTCACAGCTACATCCTCACTGGGCCAGAGAGGGTAACGACGGGGCATGGTCACAAAGTTGACAGCTTTGTCTCTAAGCAGAACAGATGAGACAACCCATTCTTGCACTCTCCCGGAGCTACTCAGATAGGACCAATGCCTTTTCTCAAGTAAAAAGGCTGTTAATTTATTGCATGGCTATATTTCAAGGAGTAAACAATATTTCATGCTGAGATGAAGGCTTTCTAGTTTAACTTGCGTTTGTTGTTGCTATTTTAATAGCTCTAACATGCTGTGTTATATTTTAATCTAAAAGGCTCTTCTCAGATATTTTCTAAAGTCAAATATATTTCATTTAATATAACAATCTCCATGTGTGGAGACTTACATGACTCTGAATGTCATGTTCATTTAATGTTTATTTTCTTATAATGGACTGGTTTGTGTAGATCATTTGAGGCAGTGGTGGGATTCAGCTGGTTTGCACTGGTTCGGGAAAACCATTTGTTAACTTTCTGAGCAATTCAGCGAATCGGTTGTTGGAAGAAATCTTCCCACAGCCTTTTGTTTCTCCCACTTTACTGGGCTAATCCTGTCAGGAAGGCAGGAAGGAAACATTTTGGTGTGCCTCTGTGTTATTTCCAGCCTAATCTTGTTTATTTTTAAATGTCTTCAGAAACTGCCTCTCAGGCTAAGCCTTGTTACATTGTAAAAGCCCTTAATGGTTCTTGGCAGTACGCCCAGACTAGCTGGAGCTGCTTCTCTGGAGGTTTTTTTGTTTGTTTGTTGGTATTTTTATTAGGGGCTTGACTTTTTTATGCTTTTTATACTGCTTGGGGTGTATTTGTGGGGTGTACTTCCAAGAGGCAGGGTGCAAGCTTGGCACACTGGCTGGTTTTTTTACTGCCTTTCTGGGGGCATGTGATCTTTCCTTAAATCTGGATGATTTCCTTAGGATATCTTGTGAGGTGAATAAGACCAGCTGGTATCTTTAAGTGGTGCAAATGGATCTAATGATTGTTTCTGGGTGGGAAAAGATGCTTTGTCAGTTCACTGAGCACATGAGTCTCTTGTCTATGGGGATTCTTCAGTCAACCAGGTCAGGGTTATCTCAATTTTTTTCCCCAGAGGTAATTGGACTTTCTTGGCTTCTAGAAAGTCCAGTTGCCTCTTGAAAAATCACCTTTGGGACAGGAGTCTCTTGCATTGCTTCAGAGTGGCTAAGGTACATGATTGCTCACTGATAGTAAGTGAATCCTCCTTCCACTTTGTTTTAGGTTTTTTTTTCTCATGATAATAAGGCTTTCTAATCTCTAATGATTGGTATTTAGGGCAACTTTTTGCAAGTTAAGAAGCTTTTTTGTATTTTTGTATAGGTAATCCTTGACTTACAACAGTTCATTTAGTGATCAAAGTTACAATGACACTGAAAAAAGTGACTTATGACTATTTTTCACACTTACAACTGTTGCAGCATCCCCATAGTCACGAGAGGCTGGGCGAGGCGAAGTGCCCCTTGACATGAGTGACATCAAGTTGACCACGCCTAGTCACATGACCACCTACCCAGCCAGTCATTAGGGCAGCGAACCGGTTGTTACATTATTTGAATTCCACCACTTATATGAAGGATTATAGTACACCTAAGTTTTAAAAATATGTGCAAATGATTGTAATGAAGGTGAGTAGACTCACTAGGAAAAGGTAGAATGCTCTACCACTCCATGGCAGGATTCTGCATTTTTGTAATTAGGTTTTATCCAATAATCTCTTTACCCAAATGATTCCTGGCCCCTTCTTCTGATTTGTTGCCAAATATATATACTTTTAACAGGTATCACATAACAACTCTCTTTGAAAATGATCGTCACTTTTCTCATCTTTCAACTCTGGAACGGGAAATGGCATTTCGAACTGAAATGGTTAGAACTTATAACTTAAGTGATATTATTACTTTTAGACATATTAATTCTACAATAAGGATATCAAATAAGATACCCTTTCTTAATTTCTTAATTTTTAATTTTTAAATGCAAATTACCATGTATTCTTGAATCAAGAAGACATTGTACTTGTTTAGATGATTTATTTTTTGTTCTTAATTTTTTAATATTTATGTGGTGTTTGCAGTTTCACAGATTACTTGTCACAGTTTCTTTTATAATGCTAGAAAACTTTCAAATGCATGCAGCTTCTTTAGATTATATCTTTACTAAATTAATTTGCCCTGTAGAGTCACTGGAAGTCAAACAGCTTATAAATTACATAAGTAAATTGTTTCAATAAATATGATGTAGTGGTTAAGGCACCAGGCTACCAACTAGGAACCGCTGAATTCTAGTACTGCCTTAGATACAAAGCCAGTTTGGTGATCCTGGACCAGTCACTTTCCCTGCCATAGGAAGGAGGCAATAGCAAGCCATTTCTGAAAAACTTTGCCAAGAAAACTTCAGGGATTTATCTAGGCAGTCTCCAAGAATCATAAATAATTGGATAGCAGAAAAATATAGCTATAAGACAGAGGTCTCCAATCTTTCTGACACCAGGGACCGTTTCGTGAAAGATAATCATTCCATGGATTTGGGATGCAACCTAAATTCCACCCATGGACAGATAAACCTTTGCTCACTCATCCACACTTGTATGGCCTGGTTGGGGACTCCTACAATGAAAGATATTTCTCTTTTCTATAAAATACATTTTAAATATATTTTAGTTATGCTTAAAGTAAAATTTATGGAATTTAAATTAGTAATGGCTAAGTGTTGATTCAGTTGTTATTTTTAATTTATTCTGTGTTAATTGATTTCGATTATTTGGAAAATTAAGAATTTAGAACCTCATAATAATAATACAAGCTAGTTAGAAATATATTGATTGATTATTTAGATTCATATCCCATCTTTCTTGCATGATCTCAAATATAGTCCTCAACTTATGATCATGATTGAGCCCAAATTTTCTATTGCTAAATGACACAGTTGAATTTAGCCCCACTTTATGATCTTTTTTGGTATAGTCAAGTGAATTACTGTGTTAAGTTAGTAACAATTTGTTAAGTGAACCTGGCTTCCCAATTCATTCTGCTTATCAGAAGGTTACAAAAATTGTTCATATGACCCTGGGACACTGCAACCATCATAAATATGAGTCAGTTGCCAAGTGGCTGAACTTTAATCATGTGACCATGGGGATGCTGCAATGGTCATAAGTGTGGAAAATGATCATAAGTCATTTTTTTCAATGCCATTGTAACTTCAAATGGTCACCAAACAAACTGTTGTAAATTGGGTACTATGCATAGTTTATGTAGCATTTTTTCTTAGCTATTTATGTCCCATGTTTATTATGTTTATAAATAGCGTAAGTTGGTAAAAATATCTAATACTCCTTCTTCCTCCTATTTTACCTACAATAACGTCAAGTCCCCCAACTGACTTTAATACCTAAGAATGAACTAGTATGCACAGTCTCCTGTTGCCTTAACCATTAAGCTAAACCTCCTTACTCCTATATATATATTTTCTATAGCAATACCTGATGATTGATGTCAGTGACTTAGTATAGACTTGAACTTGGATTTTGCCAGATCTAGTTCAACATATTAAGCAAGTGTTAATATGTTACAGATAACTTGTAATATTTGTTTTAATCTTGTTTTATTCCACTTCTGATCTAGAAATAGTAAAATTACTTCAATAGATATTTTTGTATTTATTGCTGTAGCAGATTATTTAAATTCAAATGTATAAATATGAAGCAAATTATATATTTAGATATTAAACATTTAAATATTGTTTTTAAATATATTCACTTTAGGGTCTCTATTATTCCTACTTCAAGATTATAGTTGAAGCACCATCATTTTACAGTGGAGTTTGGATGATTATGAATGATAATCTAACTGAATATCCTCTTGTAATAAACACACTGAAAAGATTTAATCTCTATCCAGAGGTAAGCCACATTTTTAATAACAACAATGACAACAACAACAATAATGATAATGCAATGAGAAAGATGAAACAGATTTACCTTATCAGTGACTGCAGCAAAATCGAGTTGCCAAAATCACACATTGGAAGCTTTTCCAGAAGTTTGCGTTCAAATGCAGCAAAAATTTCTGGGAACACCAAATTTACAGTTCTTGAAAATGAACAGGTCAATATCTTGTAGGTCTTCCAGATCCAAACAAACACTCCTCTAGCCCACAAACGCTTGACATCACTATTGTGGAAAAGAAAAAAGTCTGGTTCATGGATACTGCAATATTAGGTGATACACGAATTGAAGAGAAACATCTAAAAAAAATAACAAAATATCATGATTTGCAAATTGAAGTTGAGCGATTATGAAGGAAGAAATCAATGGTTGTACCAATTGTAATAGAAGCCATTGGAACAATATCCAAAGGGATGCCTAGATATATAGACATTTTGAATTTATTACACTTGAATATTCTGACATTGCAAAAAAACACCTTGATAAATGTGCAACAATTGCTGTTAAGCCAGGAAAAATTGTTGAAGATGATGGATTTGATTTTGATAATGAAGAGTTGATAAAAGCAGTAATACTTTTATTACAGGATACAAGCACTTAGGAAGCTTCTAACATGCTTCTGACAAAATACATAAAGCGAGTGCAGGAAATCTTGAGATCAAACCTGAATGATATTTCTTTATGAGGAAATATCATAAAACAATAATACTTTGGCAGTGCCTGTAATAGGATACTCAGCTGCAATAATTGATTGGATTCAGCTAGAACTTGATAACTTGAATCAAAAGACAAGAAAACTAATGACAATGCACTATGCTCTGCACCCAAAAAGTGACATTGAACTATTGTTTTTAGCAGACTGAATTGAATTGAAGATCAACCATAATAATATTAGTAATAAAACAATAATAATTTCAACACAGAATTACATGTAGTTTTAAAAATGTAATATCTTTTGTTAGTATCTAAGACTTCTAAATATACAGGTAATCTCAACTTACATCCATTTGTTTAGTGATTTAGAAGTTATGATGGCATTGGGGGGAAAAAACCTGACTGGCAATCCCTCAAAGGCATATGTGATCAAAATTTAGGCTCTTAGCAACTAGCATGTATTTATGATAATTGCAAGGTCATGTTATTGCCATGTACTTTCTTAATAACAGCATGATTCACTTGTCAGCCATGGCAAAAAAGAATTATAAAATTGCATGTAACTTACTAACAATTGCCTTGATTAGCAACATAAATTATTATCTTAAAAATCTTAATTTGATCAATTTTATTTGGTCACAAGTCTAAGAATATCTGCATTATAAACGTAAGATCTTGATTTCACATGATGAATCCACAGAGAAGAAAACATTTCTGTGAAAAATACTTATTAGTAAAATTTCAGTTGGTATAAATTCCAGAAGAATTACCGTATTTATCGGCGTATAACACGCAGTTTTAAAACTAAAATTGCAAGCTTAAACCCTGCCTGCGTGTTATACGCCGATAAATACGGTAATTCTTCTGGAATTTATACCAACTGAAATTTTACTAATAAGTATTTTTCACAGAAATGTTTTCTTCTCTGTGGATTCATCA